AGGCCCTGGGAAGGACTTGGGAACACTGAGTGGCTGAGCTCTGGGGGCATCTGGCTAAAGCCAAGCCAACCCTTGACCCCACCATCCCCAAATTTTGGCCCGTGGAGGGGTGTTGGGGAGGGGCTGCAGGGCTGGCGTTCCGGGCGCAGATGCCAGTGCCGGGAGCTCAGATGCGTCCCTGGCTTCAGAGACGTGCCGTGATCGTTGATCTGGCTTCACCGTGCTCAGAAAAGGAGCTCCCGACTCCTGCTTGTCACGTCAAATCCCCATCTGCCGCTGCTGTCGGTCATCATGACATGTTTAATGCACACCTTTGCTTGCTGCATTATGTTTTTTAATTGGTTTATTAGTAAAGTAATTAAAAGTTGGGGCTTGGGAGCTCTGGAGAAAGGGTTCTTTTCGTGTAAGGGTAAGCCTGAAGGACGAGAGGTTAGAAAGTGGTCTGTGTGTTTTTTTTTATTGATGAAATCTCTCCAGGACAGCGCAGATGCTTCGCTTGCTGACTTGCTGTTCCTTTTAGGAAAGACACGTCCGACTGGTCGGAATCGGCTAATGGATCTTTGCAAATGGATGCTCTCTCCTTGGAGTCCGCCAGCAAGGAAGCCTATTTCAGCAGAGTAGAAACGTTCACCATATCCTTTCTGATGCTGAACTTCCAGCTGTCCCCCACCCTTTTTGCTGTCGCTTTCCCCGTGGCTTCCCCGCGGGCTCCGTCTTCTCAGAGGCTTTTCTTTGGCCAAACAAACCCCGGCCAAAGCTTCGACTGTTTTAACCCGGAATTCATCGGGTTTTATCCTTAACGCGAGCACCCGCTGAAGTGGGCGGGCAAACCCCACGAGCTCTCTCCCCTGGTGTGCGCCAAGTACGGCTGGACCAATGTGGAGTGTGACATGCTGAAGTGCTCCAGCTGCCAGGCCTTCCTCTGCGTGAGCCTGCAGGGGCCGTGCCTTGCTGTGTGTGTAAACGACTCCCCTAGTCTTGTCCTGGGTGGCGCTGGGTGTTTGATGTCTCTGAAAATAAAGTGCAAGTCGCATAAATTTCCTTTAGTTTGTGAGAACGTAGTAAAACTTCCCGCTTCTGTTGTCAGAGATGGGTTAGAATAGAATAGTTCCAGTTGGAAGGGATCTGCGACGATCATCTAGTCCAACTGCCTGACCACTTTGGGGCTGACCAAAAGTTGAAGTGTGTTATTAAGGGCATTGTCCAAATGCCTCTTAAACACTGACAGGGATGGGGCATCGACCGCCTCGCTAGGAAGCCTGTTCCAGGGTTTGACCACCCCCTCGGTAAAGAAATGTCCCCAGATATCAAGTCTGAACCTTCCCTGATGCAGCTCTGAACCGTTCCCACGTGTCCTGTCACTGGATCCCAGGGAGAAGAGATCAGCTCCTCCCTCTCCGCTTCCCCTCCTCAGGAGGCTGTGGAGAGCGATGAGGTCGCCCCTCAGCCTCCTTTTCTCCCGACTAGACAAACCCAGAGTCCTCAGCCGCTCCTCAGGGGACGTTCCTCCCAGCCCCTTCGCCAGCTTTGTTGCTCTCCTCGGGATGTGCTCAAGTACCTTAGCATCCTTTTTTAAATTTTGTTTCCTGTCTGCTGCTCTGATCCTCCACTAAATTTTTCTAATGTGGACTGTTGGTGGCTGCTGGTCGCCAAGTCAGTCCGTTCAAGTGGTCCCGTTGTGTAATTTAATTAATAAACTCCTCCACTGCCCTCTTTAAACTACTTGGACTACCGGCCGTAAAGCTCCCCCTCGCGTTGCCCTCACCGAGCTCCTTGCCCAGGCCCAGCACCGGTTTCCTTCCCCTGCCCGCAGAGCACCGGCCGCTCCTGAGGCTGTGCGGCGCGGGCCGGGAGCCCCCGGCTCGCCCGCGTTGGACAACGCGGGGCTGAGAGTGTGGCAGGAACGCCAGCCTCCGTGGTGCGAGTGTCGCTCGTGAGCCACAGGATAGCCATAGCCTGCCCGGACATTCACTTTCCTTTACCTGCATCTGTCCTCTGAGAAAGACGTTCATTACCCCACCACAAATAAGTGTCATCTCCACTTCTCAATTTGCTTGACGGCAAGTCCCTGCTCTTGTTATCTGGAAGGCAGCAGAGAGCGCAGCCCTGACGCCTGACAAATGCAGCGTGGGTAATGGGGAGCTGCATGAGCGTTTCCTTTTGGGTCGCTCTGAATATTGACGTCCACTGTTTGTTCAGACTATCTTTTCTAAATAAACCTTGGCCTAATTACTCTGTGGGTGATCGCACTGGTTCAGGAAAATCTAAAATAATCGGAAGAAGGGCGTGAAAACTAAATTGAAAAATAAATTATTTGGTTCTGAAAGGTGTGAATAAATTAAATTAAGTATCAGATCTTTTTTTAGGAAGCTTGATTTCCAGACACGGCTGCGATTTGGCTCCTACAGCCAGGGTGGAGGGGTCAGGCGAGTTAGCTAGGGACTGGCAGCAGCCCAGAAGGTAAAACTGGCAAGAGCAGGCGGTCCCTGTGCCGGTGGTTGGTTTGAGCTGTGTTTCCACTGCACTGCCATGCAGTGTGGCAGGGTGTGGGGTGTGTGCCTGGGAGCTGGGGGGGGGATTTTGGCTGCAGGGAGGTGGAACCGCACTGGTGACGCTTGCTGTTGTGGAGGTAACCCCTTGAGCCAGCCTGCCTTCGCTGCCGCAGGAACCACCGCTCTGTGGTTGCCTGCCGGGGAGGCTGGCGGTGCGGCAGCTCCTTTTGGTGGAGAGGGAGATGAGGCTGAGGTGAGAGCTTCAGGTTCTGCAACCTACAGCCTCAGGTGGCATCCATCACCCAAGCCATGCTGAACGGGAGGAGCAGGGAAGCCCTCGTAGCCCGGTTTGGTTTTCCCAGCCGTTCCCCGAGGAGGTGGCTCCGCAGGGGAGTAGAAGTGAGCTTTGCCTTGCAGATAAGGAGCGCTGTGTGGAGCTGAAGAAGGCCTTGTGCACTGCTCATGAGAAGTTCTGCTTCTGGCCGGACAGCCCCTGCCCAGGTTGGTGTCGCAGAGCCCGGCTAGTGCACATGTCCAGCATTACTCCCTTTTGTCTCTCTTTCAGTCTCTGCTCTTGTCTCCCGTGGTAGGAATTGTGGTTTCTCTTCAAGTTCTCAAAGCAGGCAGTGTCATCACAGTCCCCTTTTTCCCTCTGGGGATGTTGAAACGCCCAGTGGCAAAGCGACATCTCTGAGCAGCCTCAGCAAATAAACGGGGCCATAGCTGGAGCCCCAGGCCGGCCTGTACCCAGCCTCTATTAACCTCTGTGTGCCTCCAGGGCAGTTAAAATGCTTTTTGGGTTGTAACTGGGAGGGGACAGGGGAGGCTGGATGACACGGGATGCTCAAAGGGCGATAGATCTCATCTTCAGAGCTGTGCTGCACAGGGATGGGTGGTTGCAAAGGAAAAAGGCTGTGCTCAGCTTTCCTTTAAAAGCCAAGAGACCGTTATGGGGAGACCTTGGCTGGACTCATCTCCTCCCTTGCCCTGCGGGATGAGGAGGGGGTGGGAAGGCTGGTGGCACAGCTCAGGCCTCCCGCGTTTGCTTTCGCCAGATCGCTTTGCCATGTTGCTGGTGGATGAGCCCAGAGCCCTTCTCCAGGACTTCCTGGACCGCTTTCAGAGCCTGTGTCAGCTGGAGCTGCAGCTGCCCTCCCTCAGACCAGAAGACATGAAAAACATGGTGAGTTCCCATCTGCTCCTGAGATCGGGTGCCTTCAAGTCCCCAGCGATGATGCCAGGCACGCCTGTGCTGTGCAAACCCTGACCGAAACGGCTGCAAGACTCAGATCGGAGACTTGAGTTTGTGTGTGTGAGTGGTCTGTCATTGCCTTGGCTTTCTCCTCGGATGTTCCCCACGTGGTGGTTTCAGCTGGTGTTTCTGGAAGCACGTAAAAGGGAGTTTGGAAAGGCTTATCTGCCGTGCAAGCCCTTGACCAACGCAGGCACAGCTGGCTCATGTCATAGAATCATTAAGGTTGGAAGAGACCTCTAAGATCATCGAGTCCAACCATCGACCCAACACCCCCATGCCCACTAAACCATGTCCCTCAGCGCCTCATCTACCCGTCTTTTAAATCCCTCCAGGGATGG